TGAAACAAATTCAGTTTCAGAACATCCATCTAAAAACGTTACATGATTCTTTCTCGTTAGCAAGTTAATTGGTTTTACTTTCCTTCACATTCAACCCGGTCTCATCCCAAGACGTCATATAACTGACGTTTTGGGACGTCTTTTGACCATACGTCAATATCCGCCTTTTTAGGGCCCCCTTAAACGTCGGTAGATGAGGTAATGGGATCCTAACTCTACCCCAGACCTAAACCTAACCCGTCACCTAACTGACGTTAAAGGTAAAGCGTCAGTTGTATGACGGCCCGGGATCGCCATCTACCGGCGTTTAAGGGGGCCCTAAAAAGGCGGATATTGACGTATGGTCAAAAGACGTCCCAAAACGTCAGTTATATGACTTTTTGGGATGAGACTGTGTTATCACATTCATCGACGTCCCAATTGTGTACACAGACAACAGTTAGCAACAGTAACTAAGGGGAGCGGGGCTTACTGATCAATTGAGAATAGATTATATAGAAAAAGCGAGCAAAGAGCACTCGTTTTATAACGACCGAAGCTGTCAATCACTGAAGCTTGAAAGCAGCTGCCTCTCCAAAGTGTCCAAAGAGTCTTGGCTAATTTAGTTTTGGTTTGTTTATTTGGATGCCTCTTAACCACTGTACGTCTTCCTGGGTAAATATACAGAACTACTGTATTCAACAACAATAAAAGTCCAGTCAAGAAAACAGACAACCCCCAAATTCATTCTAATTTGATATTAAAATATTGTGCCATTAAACAGTCCTTTAAATATTTTTTTAAACCTCATTTTATATGTAATATCAGATGGCAAGTCACTCCAAAAACTACAGTCCTTTGTTTTGCATTGGCTTATTAAAGAGTGAGTAAACAGATCCTTTGATTCCTGTCTAGTATGAAAATGATGACTTCTACTTCTATACAGAAGTTGACAGTACTGGACATTAGTAACTCCAGACACTGAGACAGTTCTTATAAAACAAAGCTTTTTGTGTGCACTCTTATTATATTAGTAATAGTCCGTCTATGAGCCAATGTTGGGATAAAAAAATGTGGGTTACACTTTTATTTTAAGGTGTCTGAATTACATTGTAATTATTAATTTAAGTGCTGAGTAATATTAATTTACTACATGTACTTACTATTGGGAATTTACTAAATTGAGACTTTGACCCAAACACAGTGCTTTTGTTTTTAATCAAATTTATGGTCAAATGTTTGTGAAATCAACGGTCACACTTGCATCAGACCCACAGTCCGACCACGTCTATTGATTCCCAAACTGCAGCGAAAACTATTATATATATAATAATTATTATATTCGTATTATTCCACCCGTTACATCAAATATTAGTGGTTCGGGACAGGAATGGGCTCAGCACAAACCCCTGAGGCACTCCGCTCTGACGATATTACTGTGAGTTTCAGTTTCGTCTCATTCTCTGGCCACGATATCTGTAACGCATTGACGAGTATCTGCGTGTGTTAGCTGTCTGAATGGGCTTTCTCTCAGTCGATGCGACACAGCAGGAAACATGTGCAAGTCTCAGGCTTTATTGAATAACACTGAGACATCAATACTAATTTACTTTTATCTGCTATCTCCAGCCTTACTGATAGGACATGTTACCCCTTATCTAGCAAAAATATCACTCTAATCAGTCAATACTAAATACTAATGGTTTAAAGTCGATTCTAATTATTAGCGCTGAGGCAAGCCTCGTCGTTTCATGGTGACACTTAACCCTTTACTTTAAATATAAGATTTACAATGCACCTTTTACACGACAGACATGAATGATTTGATTGTGAATCTTGTTGAGGAGAAATGTGCTAATGTTGGATATTTGATACACTATATACCATAAAAGAAATCTCCCCTGCTTGATTCCCTGTAAACGCTATTATCGCCCAGCTTGAATCTTTGACTATAAAGCTTGTAAACATTTCACCCATTATAGCCATATTTTAAACAGGACAACTTCAAGTTTCAATCTAGCTCATCTAAATTCCCAATTTTACGTTTATTTTGTGTTAGAATGGATGAATTTACCAGATTTAAGAAAAACGTCAGAAAATGTGTAATGTTTTTTTTTAGTCAACTCAAACGAAACCTCCTGAAGTTTTGGATTTTAACCTTTAGAAAGTTTTACTTGGATTTTCTAGATTTCCAAATAAAATTTTGTGTACATGTAACAATCCCTAAGCAAATTATAGCCATTTATTACAACATCAATATCGCCGATTTTCAGGGAAACGCTGTTGTTTTCTATTTACCGACAATATACAGTATAGATGTGACTATAACGCGAATAAACATTAACCTCGTGTGATTTTTTTGTAACGCCGCTTTGATGAAAAGTGCTATACAAATAAAGTTGACTTGACTTACAGAACATTGTAACCTCTGTTTTCCATCTGAATTTTATGCAAATAAAATTTTATCAAAATGGCAAGATTTGCATAAATTATTATTATTTTTTTTTTTTTGCTAAATTGAGGCGGATATTTGTTTTATCCAATAAGACGGCATTAGCATAAAATATGATTGAAACACATTTATTGAATAAATCCCTCGATGTGGTTCCAAACACTACACTGTAAAAAAATATTTTCAAGATTTGTTATCACAACATATTTTCAGAATAATTTTATTTTAGAATAATTTATTTAGTTGAGATAACTTATTATTTTGAGTTTCTGATGGTTAAATTAATCTACTTCATACAGTTCAATCAACTTAAAATTTGAAGGCAACCCAGGTTACTTACTTTTTTAAGTTAAAACAACAATATTTTTTTACAGTGTAGTAATCACAACATTTTTTCTTTTGTCAAATCAACTTAAATAATTTATTTAGTTGAGATAACTTATTATTTTGAGTTTCTGATGGTTAAATTAATCTACTTCATTGTTTTAACTCACTTTTTACAGTTCAATCAACTTAAAATTTGAAGGCAACCAGGTTACTTACTTTTTTAAGTTAAAACAACAATATTTTTTTACAGTGTAGTAATCACAACATTTTTTCTTTTGTCAAATCAACTTAAATAATTTATTTAGTTCAGATAACATATAATTTTGAGTTTCTGATGGTTAAATTAATCTCCTTCATTGTATTAACTCACTTTTTCCAGTTCAATGAACTTAAACTTTTAAGGCAACCAGGTTACTTACTTTTTTAAGTTAAACCATCAATATTTTTTTACAGTGTAATGGGACTGCCTCATCAGAGGCTGTGATTGGATAACTGGACTTACCAGCGGACCAATCGCATCACAGCATCTCAAATGAGAGTGTTTATTGGGTTTCGTCACGAAAACACTCGTTTATGATGGAGGAAAGAAGAGACCGTTTCTTTCCGGATTGCAGAAACTTCCATTTTCATAACAGATATTTTGCATTGATGTTCCCAGGACACATTGTTCTCTTGAACACATCGGATGGAAAGGCTTTGTTGTATGCCATATTCCAATTTTGTGCACATTCCCAACTTTGGAAGGAAATACAGCTTTATAGACTTGGGTTGGCATCTGTGGTTTTATTCTATGTGCCAAAATTCAGTGTCAAAAGGCCATATGACTGGAAACTATAATCATGTTGGTGCATGACATCTCATCATCATGCGAGATGCCAGCTGCTGTCACACTAGATGAACTGTGAGGTCTCCAGATGTTCTTGAAGTGACATGTCTTGAGCCACATTGTGATGGCGAACACACCAGCTACATCAATTTGTATGTGGACAACAGTTGCATGAGGACAGAAAGTTCCTTTGTAGCAGCAAGGCCTCACAGATGGAAGTGAAGCTTGTCTATAATAGTTCAGCAGTGCAGACTCTGGCAGAAGACTACAGATGAGATGTGCTGAGGGACTCGGACAACTAATCAACATGTCAACACTGACGGGTCCGTCCGCTTTGACACACACCTGGTGAATTATTGAACCGCTGTAAGCAAACTCTCCCCTTAAAGCTGCTGTCACACATGAGCCGGCGTCGAGGCAAACACTCCAGAGATGAACTCACAGGAACTGTCGTTGAGATGCTATTACGACATTATAGTTATTTTTAAATAAATATATTCTAGTTTTTATTTTTCAGGTTTAGATATTTGGTAACACTTACAATAAGGTTCATTAGTTAACATTAGGTTACTACATTAGTTAACATGAATAGTAATGAATTGTACTTGCCATTTATTAATCTTTCAACATTTACTAATACTTTATTAAAATCATGTTAACATCAGTTAATGCACTGTGAGCTAACATGAACGCATAATGAACAGCTGGATTTTTATTAACTAAGATTAATAAATACTGTAACCAATGTATTGCTCATTGTTAGTTCGTGTTAACCCTTAAAGAGAACATTTAACCCGTTTTTGCAGTCGGCATCAAGTGGCATGTTTAAACAGGAGAACTTCAAGTTTCAATCTAGCTCGTTTATATTCCCAATTTTACCTTTATTTTGTTTTAGAATTGATGAATTTACCAGATTTAAGAAAAACGTCATCACATTTATGTTTTTTTTTTTTTACACAACTCAAACAAAACCTTCTGAAGTTTTGGATTTTTTCCCTTTAGAAAGTTTTGCTTGGATATTCAAGATTTCCAGATGAAATGTTACATGTAACAATCCCTAAGCAAGTTATAGCCATTTATTACAACATTAATATCTGCGATTTACAGGGAAACGCTGTTGTTTTCTTGAGATATCTCTTATTTTTGAAGACGAATATTCCATGAAACCCCACAAAAATAAGTTTGAACATCAATGGTAAACATTTCAAGAACAAGAAACATGATATTATTAAAAAAATATTTTAAAATACACTCACATGGTTGATATTGAAACCGATTCTTCAAAACTAGAGTCTCTCTCTCTCTCTCTCTCTCTGATGTGTTTTTTTACAGACTGCTTTTTTTTGCAGACACTTTTTCTCTTCTTTTTGTCTAAAAACGATTTTGTCTTGACACGGTGATCACTTGAAGTTGAAGATGCAGTCCTTAATCACTGCTATTGTTGCCTTTCCCTCCACTTGGGTGGCGCAATTACCCGGAAATAGAGAGAGACGCGCGAACAGGCGGGAACAGTCTCTCACGTTTTCCCGCCCTGACTCTCTCTCTCTCCCACAGCTCCTGCCAACAGACCCGCCGAAGAAGCCGGACCCGGTCACCTCAGAAACGGTGGTGTTTTGGGGTCTCCGATTATGGCAGGTTATTGGCATTTTCTCCATGTTCATCCTAGCAATTAGTAAGTGTCTAAAGTGTTCATCTCACATTCAATATGAGTCATGTTTCAGCCAAGGACTGAGACTTTCAAGCTCCAGACGGACAAAAGAGCTCATCACTTCAGAAGACATGGAAACTAATTTTATATGTTAATGACACTTATTGGCACATTTTGTGTCCATTTTGTAGCTTGAAAGCTCCAGTCTCCGTTTATTGTCACTAGGGTTGGGTATCGAGTATCGATTGGAACCGAGACTAACTTTTCGTTTTTTTTCACGGAATCGTTCAAAAGTTAAAATTTCGATTCCTAGTTTCGATATTCACAGTCCGTCGAAAAATGCAAAATTTGTGACAAAAGGAGTATTTTTACAGAAGGAGTATTTCCTTCAGAAAGGATTATTTCCTTCAGAAAGGCCGTTGGTTAGCAAGGTTAGCTAACTTTTTTGACCCTGCCTCTTAAAAGAATCGGAATCAAGAATCGTTAGGAACCGGAATCGAAACAAGGAATCGGAATCAGAATCGTTCAAATTCAAACGATACCCAACCCTAATTGTCACTGCATGTTAAAGAGAAACCAGTATATTATGAACAATTCCTCGTGTTTTTCACAGAGGAAATAGGCTTTATAATTGAAATGAGGGCGAGCAAGAATTTTTATTTCTGGGTGACCTGTTTAAAATGGCAAGCTATGCATAAATTTGCATTCAGAATTCCCATTAATGGGTGTAAAAAAACCCCACTTAATTATTTACACGTGGTGAATCGCATTAAGTGATTTAATGAAATCTCCCCAGAGCAAAATAGCATTTAGAGAACAGAGAGATGTTGCGCGGGATGATCCCCTCATAGGATTTCACAGCTCTCTTCCTCATTTCACAGTAATAACGCTGTGCTGCATCTTCAAATGCCGGATCCCACGAACGAAGAAAGAGATCGAGGCTCGAAACCAGCAGAGACAAGCGGCGAAGACGTACGCCAACACCCTGGAGACGGTGCCGCCCCTCAACGAGCTGACGGACGTGCCGGGAGGTGAGTGTGTGTGTGTGTGTGTGCCGCGCTTCTGCTCCCCTGCACGTGTGTAGTCGTACGACCTCATTTGTATGTTCTCATTGAAGGGATAGAGCTTCATTACGTTTTTTTTTTTTAAATACAAATCATGCATTTTCACATTGCAAACTCATTACAAACTCAATTCCAAACTCAAAAAAGGTAGCCTACATATTCTTGTGAAACTGGTTTGGAGCAATTAATCAGCATTATATATATATATATATATATATATATATATATATATATATATATATATATCACTGTGCCAAAGTCTTAAGCCAAAAGTCAAAAGTCTTATTTCTCTCTTTGGCTTTAGTGTGTGTCAGTGCCATTCATTGAAATAATCCAGTGAGATTTCTGACAGTAGTTGTGTAATAAACACACACACACACACACACACACATTACATTGTAATGCGTTACAATTTTGCTTAAAAAGTATCTAATTTCGTTGTTTTTTTAGTTTTAATGTATCATGATGATGCATTACTTTAATTTTGCGTCACTCTTTGTCACATGAGCAGGGTTTGCATGTCTTTTGCTTATTAGTATGGTTGAACTGGATCATCGAAGGTCAGAAGCAACGACATTGGTTAATAAGTGAGATTAAATCCATTAAGTCCATTTGTGTAATTTATCATATTTAATTAATTATTGCCGATTTGCCTAATATTCAGAGTTTGCATTTCACTGCTTTTATAGCAATACTGAATGTGTTTTTGTGTAAGTGAGATGAGTAATGTTCACTATAATGCCCATTATGTTTACACACACACACCTCTGCACTTCAGCATGAGCACAGGAGAGATGGGGAAACGAAGGAGCCTCCATTACTAATCTGAAAATGAACTTTTTTTTTCTAAATTTAAAAGTAATGCATTAATGCATACTAGCTACTCGAAAAAAGTAATCTGATTATGTAATTCAAGTTACTTGTAATATATGTACTGTAAATACACACACACATACAGTGTTGGGGAAAGTTACTTTTAAAAGTAATGTTTTACAATATTGCGTTGCTCCTTAGAAAGTAACTAATTGCGTACTTTTTGTGTAACGTAATGCATTACATTGCTTTTGCGTTATCTTTGTCCCCTGAGCTGGGCTTACATGTCTTTTAAACAACAACAACAACAAAAAAGTATATTTTTGGTCAAACTAAATGTACTTTCACAGCAGGAGTGAATTAAGCCTCGGGTTGAAGCAAAGGCATATCCACAAAAAATATGTGAGTTCATTTTTCAGAGAAGAAAATCACATATTTTGTTATAAATTTAAAGTAGTGCATTACTTGAAAAAAGTAATCTGATTAAGTAACTCACATTACTTGCCTTACTCCAAATATATATAATCTTCTGTTTTGGAAGTGTTTATTATGGATTGTTTTTATAGCCCTTAATCCTGTAATTGTGGACAAATGTGGGCACAGAGGACTAATCCTAATTTTTATTTATTATAAATGTTATATCGCTGTCTTCGATAAAGTTTTGTCTATCAATTTATGGTGTTTTATTTTTATTTTGGGGGTATTTTTGAATTTATTTACTTCAAAAAGTACCATATTTTCTATGTAAATGATTCTTATTTTTTTTGTTTTATTTATTTTTTATTTTTTTAGCTACATTAAAATATCATTCCAATAAGTTCTTAGAGCTAAAACCTAAAGATGAAGTGACTTTGCAGTCACCTGGTGGCTTATTTCTAAATTAGTTTTTCCCATTCATTTCTATGGGTGCCCATTTTTGACCCAAATACAAGTTTAAGGAGTTTTTTTTCACCCACTTGACATTGAGTGAAAACAAATTGTGTGTGTTCAGAAGGCAAACTTAGGAAAAGTAGCCAAGTCTCGTACCGCTCAGATCAAGGGAAGTATTTTTTAAAAATAAATCAAAACTATTTTGCCCACATTTGTCCAGAATACGGTTTTAGGGTTTAAATTCACAAGGCTTTGCTCCCCCAGATTGATCTGCGAGTTCATGATTGGCTTGTGTCAGGTCGCTGCGTTCAGAGTCAATCAGATCAATTTCAATTAATAATCCCATTATTAGCCTATCCATTTCCTCAGTGTAATAAACTATCCAATAGATACACACAGTGCTGTGATTGGTTAATCAGCAATACCGGACCTTTATTGAGACATACGCTAACTGAAAATAATGAAAAGTTTACATTGAATTCAACAAAAGCTGAAGTGTTGTCCTGTGGGAGAGGAGCATGTCGGCTGGTATGGAGAAATAGTTGTTTCACCAAGCATGGCATTGAAACGACTTCATTATTCCCAAAGTGCTGTTCCCGTTCTTCTCCCTTAACTAAATGTGTGCAGATTCCCATCCTGATCAAAAAGCCAAACGCCGCCACTAAATTTCCTTTTCCATTTTCTCCTTTCCGATTTCTAAGTTTCTTCTGTTGTTCCAGCTGATGTGAGATCTGTGTGTGTCTCCTGGTCTTGATCTCTCTGCTTCTCTCTGTTCTTCTCCCTCTCTTCACGTGTCGTGTGTGTGTGTGTTCAGCTCTCGGGGAGACCCCAGCGCTACACACCGTCTCTGAGCAGGTCCAGGCTCGAGGTAGTGGAGCGCTGGCTGTGGTCAGAGAAGAAGAGGAACCAGCCAATCCCGTCGCTTAGACCCCCGTGTGCTCCTCGCTCTCTGTCCTCAGTAGAAGCGCATGGGAAACGGTTCACGATGAAGCGAAGTGTTTCGTCTGCCATTAGACTCTGTGTCAGTAGATGTTAGAGAAATGCTAACACTTTACAATAAGGTTCGTTAGTCAACATTAGTTAAATGAACAATACTTATTAATCTTAGTTAATATTAATTGCAATATTTACTAATACGTTATTATAATCAAAGGTTGTATTAGTTAACATTAGTTAATGCACTGTGAACTAACATAAACAATGAACAGCTGGATTTATATTAACAAAGATTAATAAATACTGTAACAAATGAATTGCTCAATGTTAGTTCATGTTAGTTTATACATTAAATAATGTTAACTAATGAGCCTTATTGTAAAGTGTTACCGTGTTAATGTAAGCCAAATCCTCACGAATGGGTGAATCTTAGAGAATATAAAGTAATGAGTAAAAAGCACAGATCTTGACCTTTTCTTTTTCTTTCTCTGCCTGTCTTTTAAAATCAACCAGGAATCAGTATTGAACGCTTTTACTTTCATAAAACACATTTCTGCTGGTGTTGTGCATGATTTTTTTGGTTTTCCTCTGTAAAAAAGTTCTTTATAATCTATAATCCCAATGCAATGCCTTACTCTGACTCGTACGCCGGCCCGGCAGAGCTCAACAACACGACACAATATAAAACACAAGATCATAAACACATCCAATCGAGCAACACCAGGACAACAAGACCAAACACCTCCACGATTCCCTGTTTAAATACAGTTACACGAGTAGAGTAACTCGACCGGGAATGGTGAAACAACATAAAACGTTGCGCTTTTTTGGATAACTATAGTGTATGGCGAATACCACAGACTCAGCGTACGCTATCTCACGACCAATTCGTATGAGTGATTCAAAAGTGGCTAATTCGTACTAATTCATAGGACCTCACTCGTACGAATTTGTACAATTTATCTAAACCCACGTGACGGTTAGGTTTAGGGGCGGGGTCAGGGGTAGGTCATTCGTACGAATTCATACGAATTGGCTAATTCGTAAAATATGTACGATTTTGCAAAATCGTACTAATTCGTACGAGTGAGGTCGTACGAATTAGCCACCTCATAAAATTCGTACGAAAACATGTATATCTATGGACTCGGCGCAGTAATGTCACCGCTCCTGAAAATTTCATTGATTTCACCGTGTTGTTGACTTGTGTTTGTTGTGTTGTGCACTACTGGGCCATCGTACACTTTCTCACACTAACTCACTAGTGTTTGCATGTATTTCATGTAAAGTTCGGTTCTACCGCATAAATTTACTTACGTTTGCATAGACAATAAAACATTCAATAATGATGTATTGAGAGTATCTCAAATGCATGCGGAAGTACACGTTTAAGAATTTTTATTTATGAATATTTAATACAAATGAAATCAATAGGATAAAACTATTGTATTCATGATCATTGAGATTCAAAACGTTTTGTTTCATAATTTCGACTGCACATCTAGTCTCAGAGAGAGAGACCATCTCTGAGCGAGAGACCAGAGCGAGAGACTATCTCTTCTCCCAGATTGTATGGGATGATGATAATGACACGTTGTGAAGAGGAAAATTGCCTTTCAAAGGAGAGCATGCTGGTTTTTCTATAAAATTATGATTTTCTTTCTATAATCACACTTTTTTTTTAGAAATTGCTAGATTTATATACTTGGATCTCATGCAAACAAAATAAGTAGATCCCTATCATTCCCAGTCATTCGGCGAACTCATCCTCAGTCTCATCACAGAGCAAACTCTTTTATTGAACTTTCCCTTAAATATGTCTGTAATCGTTTTCTGAAAAGAAGAAATCAGGTTGTTATTTATACATAAATACAACAATAAACACTTCAAATAAATAATTAAATGCAATCATATTGTTGAGGCTACTATCTATAAAAAAATCCCAATGGGGAAATACATTACTGCAATTCCACTGTGATATGAAAACATTGATATTTTCTCAATTTACAGTAAAACTATGTTGATTTGTGAATAAAAATATCTAATTTACTTTTCAAAGATGCTGCAAAAAAGTAGGGATGCACCGATACCGATACCGGTATCTGGTATCGGCCTCGATACCACATTTTCTAAAGTACTCGTACTCGTTAAAAGTCCCCCGATACCGGGGACCGATACCATGTTCTGAGAAATGGGTTAATCACAGGCGCCGAGTGCCCACCCCCAGGCTCCGGCTGCAGCTCAGAGCGGGGAGATGGGGAGACATGTCAGTCGTGTGGAACAGTGATGCGCGGGTCAATGTATAAACAACCCGCACACTACCAACGTTTTCAACTACCCGCCCGCTA